TTGCCGGACTCTTATGAGCATTTTGTTACCACTATTATGCATGGTAAAGAAACTGTGAAATTTGAAGATGTGTCAAATGCCTTGATGAATTATGAAATGAGGCATAGAGATAAAAATCATGATAGTACCTCGGAAGCTTTATTTGTTAGAGGTAGATCATCGGAGAGAAGATCATCTTCTAGTAGGAAAAAATCACAGTCTCGACCTAGAGGAAACTCTAAAGGTAGAAAACCTATGGAAAGGGATGAATGTGCCTTTTGTCGTAATAAGGGCCATTGGAAGAAAGATTGTCCTAAATTGAAGACCAAAGGTAAAGAAAGTTCTGAAGCTAATGTTGCTGAAGTTGAAACAGATTTTCCTGATTTTGCTTTAACCACTTCCTCATCATTTGATTGTGCTACTAAGTGGGTGTTGGATACGGGTTGTACTCATCATATGACTCCTCACAAGGATTGGTTTTCAAGCTTGAAAGAGTTTGATGGCGGTGTTGTGTTCATGGGAGATGACAATCCTTGCACAACAAAAGGGATTGGTACAGTTCGTTTGAAGTTGCATGATGGCATGGTTAAAGAGTTGACAGGTGTTCGGTATGTACCGAATTTGAAGAAAAATCTTATTTCTTTGGGAACTTTGGAAGCCAAGGGCTTCAGGTTTCATTCAGATGGGCAGACATTGAAGGTGACTTATGGTGCACTTGTTGTGATGAAAGCTCCTCGATGTGGCCATTTGTATTTATTGCAAGGAAGCACTGTGACTGGTGAAGCATCTGTAGTCTCAGAAAATATGGGCACATCCGATTCTGATACTACTAGATTGTGGCATATGAGATTAGGCCATGCCGGTGAAAAAGCTCTACAAGGGCTTGTGAAACAAGGTCTTCTAAAAGGTGTCACGACTTGTAAGCTTGATTTCTGTGAGCATTGTGTCTTGGGGAAGCAAACTAGAGTGAAGTTTGGTACTGCTGTACATCAGACGAAGGGTATTCTTGATTATGTGCATTCGGATGTTTGGGGTCCTATAAAGACTCCCTCTTTGAGTGGTAGACATTGGTTCGTGACCTTTGTTGATGATTATTCAAGAAGGTCTTGGGTCTACACTATGAAGCACAAGAGCGAGGTGTTGAGCATTTTCTTGGGTTGGAAGAAAATGGTTGAGAACCAGACTGGGAGAAAGATTAAGATTTTGAGATCGGATAATGGTGGTGAATACACATCCGACCCTTTCTTTAAAGTTTGCAAAGAGGAAGAAGGGATTGTGAGACATTTTAGTGTCCGGGGAACTCCACAACAAAATGGAGTTGCAGAAAGATTGAATCGAACCTTGCTTGAGAAGGTTAGATGCATGTTGTCTCAGTCGGGTTTGAGCAAGTCGTTTTGGGCAGAGGCAGTTACTTATGCATGTCACATCATCAACCGATTACCATCAGCTGCTGTTCAGGGTAAGACGCCAATAGAGGTATGGACTGGAAAACCTTCTACTGATTATGATTATATTCGTATTTTTGGTTCACCTGCTTATTTTCATGTAACTGAAAATAAACTTGATCCTAGAGCCAAAAAGGCTATCTTTCTTGGTTTTAGTAGTGGTGTCAAAGGTTATAGGTTATGGTGCCCGGAGATGAAGAAACTTGAAATCAGCAGAGATGTGACATTTGATGAAGAAAATATGTTCAGAGACTCTGAAAAGAATGTGAAAGATGTCCAACAGGTGGAGCTTGAGAAAGTTACCTCTAGTACTTCAAATCCTATTTCCGCTGATGTCGAAGCCACTACAAGTGAAGAAGTGGGAGACCATGAGGATGTTGAAGAAGTTGAACTTGAAGATTCTATTCAAGTTGAAGAGCAAGTTTCACCTCAAGAGTCTATTGCCAAGAACAGAGGAAAAAGACAAATTACCAAGCCAGCTCGGTATAGTGACTATGTTGCTTTTGCTCTTCCTATTATCACTGATGAGATTCCATCCAATTTTGAGGAAGCCATTGAGAGTGAGGAAAAGGAGAAGTGGTGCAATGCCATGGGTGATGAGATGAATTCTCTCTTGAAGAACAAGACTTGGGAGTTAGCTAAATTGCCTAAGGGTAAGAAAGCTATTGGTTGTAAATGGGTGTATGCCAAGAAGGAAAATGCTGATGAGAAAAGCAATGTAAGATTCAAAGCAAGATTAGTTGCTAAAGGGTATGCACAAAAGGAAGGCATTGACTACAATGAAATTTTTTCTCCAGTTGTGAAGCACTCCTCAATTCGCATTATGTTAGCTCTTGTTGCACAATATGATCTTGAGCTTGTGCAACTCGATGTGAAGACGGCTTTCCTACATGGTGATTTGAATGAAGAGATTTATATGTGTCAACCGGATGGGTATAAAGTGAAAGGGAAAGAGAATTTGTTTTGCAAGGTGAAGAAATCACTTTATGGCTTGAAGCAATCTCCAAGACAATGGTATTTGAGGTTTGATAAATTTATGAGAGGCCAAAATTATTCTAGAAGTCAATATGATCATTGTGTGTACTTCAAGAAGTTGCAAGATGGGTCTTTCATTTATTTGTTGATATATGTTGATGATATGTTGATTGCCTCAAAGAATGTCGAAGAGATTGAGAAATTGAAGAATCAAATGAAGAATGAGTTCGAGATGAAGGATCTTGGTGAAGCAAAGAAGATCTTTGGCATGGAGATCACTAGAGACAGAGAGAAGGGTTTGGTTTGTTTGAATCAAAGACAATACCTTGAAAAGTTGATTCGGAAGTTTAGAGTTCATGATTCAACTAAACCGGTTAGTACCCATTTGGCTCCTCATTTTAAATTGAGCTCTCTACAATATCCTAAAGCTGATAAGGAGAAGCTGCAAATGAAAAATATACCATATGCAAATTTGGTTGGTAGTTTGATGTATGCAATGGTATGCTCTAGATCAGATATTGCTCATGCAGTTGGCATGGTGAGTCGATATATGCATAATCCTGGTAAAGAGCACTGGCAAGCAGCTAAGTGGATATTGAGGTATCTCCATGGTACTCAAGATGTTGGTTTATGCTTTGAGAGGGATGACTCTGGTATTAGTCATTTTGCTGTTGGTTATGTTGATTCAGATTATGCAGGTGATCTGGATGGAAGGAAGTCTACTACAGGCTATGTGTTTACTATGGCTAAAGGACCAGTTTGTTGGAGGTCCATTTTGCAGTCGTCTGTTGCCTTGTCTACTACAGAGGCTGAATATATGGCAGTTGCTGAAGCTATAAAGGAGGCCATTTGGATACATGGACTGATTAGAGATTTGGGGGTTGATCAGAAGCAGGTGGAGGTGCATTGTGATAGTCAGAGTGCCATTTATTTGGCTAAGTATCAGGTTCATCATGCGAGGACCAAGCACATAGATGTGCGTTATCACTTTGTTCGTGAAGTAGTTGGTGAAGGGGAGATCATTCTCCAGAAGATTCCAACTAAAGACAACCCCGCTGATATGTTGACTAAGGTTGTTGGTGTAGCCAAGTTTATTCATTGCTTGAACTTGGCTCACATTTTGCCTATATAAAGAAGGCGTTGAGCAGTAGGAGTTTTGAAGCATTTTTGCTTATCATGGCGTCTTTCGGAACTTGGCCAAGGTGGAGATTGTTAGAGTATGTGGCCAAGTGGACAAGTGTCCAAAAGACCTTTCGGCTAAACAAACATATAAAAAGAAAAAGAGAAGGTGGACAACACCTTTCCTTGTTTTGGGGAGAAAAAAAGGGAAAAGGTTTTTTGTTTTTTGTTCTCTTCAACACCCGTGGGTGTTGGTTTAATAGAAAAGAATTGCCTTTGAAGCTAGAGAGAGATATAGAGCTCATTTCGGTGAAGAAGAAAAAACTAGAGAGAAAAAAGAGCTCCTTTTTGCAGAGAGCAAGGGAGAGTTGCAGAGAGCCTAAAACAGAAGAAGAAGTTGTTGCTTCATTTGATTGGTAATCATCAACCAAAGTAATTGTTGTTGTAATAGCTTTGAGCTATATGTATAGAGAAGAAATTATTCTTTATATTTCTTTCTCTATTTGTTTCTTTGGTGTGTGAGAGCTATTGGGTGTATTGGGTTTTTTGGGTTGTGAGATTGTCAACACTTTGTAAACTCCCATTTGGTTGATAGTGGATTATTGGGTGAGCTCCTACTGCTCCGAGGACGTACTCCAGTTACACTGACTGTTGAGGAACCTCGTTAAAATCTTGGTGTCTTTTATATTTTGTTCTTGCATTTTCATTTGATAAATTTCCTGTGGGTTAGCTTGAGTTGATTCCATAAAGTTTGGTGCTATCCTAGCACAACATCAAATTACTCATAAAACTTAGTCATCGACTATAAAAGTAACCTTACTCTCTACACGCACAAAGTGATCAAAAAGAACCATAACTCGTAAGTATAAAAGTAGGCTACTTTCTTCTCGTTGAAAGTGATTAGAAAGGTCTAACTTCTTGAAGAAAGCCACAGCCAAGTGGTATGACCTATAAAGATAAGGATGTGATAAACTTTGTAGATATATTATTAACGCATAAATTTGGCTATACAAAATTTGATAAAGGGCCCTTGTCCCTAGGCCTCTAGCTCCCCGCCCTTGTTCATGGCGGATGACCTAGTGTCGCGGCGTTTCTACACCAGGGAGGGTGGTGGTTCAATTTGAATGACACTAATGGTGGGCAAACGTCACAAGTTAGCAGTTGTTGAGTTACTAACTAAGGTGGTTAATCCATTAATGAACTTGCGGGTGGTTTAACGTTTTCGCCCATCCCCTCTTCTTATAAGACGGTAACCTAAACTTTTTTAAATACCCAATATCCTCCTCACCATCAGATATTCAAATTTTTCATCCATGACACTTTCTGCCACTAACTAAAACCGACAACCGCCAACCAATTATATTTCCAACCAATTCGTGCAAGTGTAATCAATCGACTATGTATAGCACCAACTCATCTAAGTGCGGACAACTATTAAGTTTTTACCCTCTTAAGTTGGTCATGTATCGTCCACCTACCAAAATGGACGAACTGGAAATATCATTACCAGGGCCGAAGCCAAGAAGAGTACAGAAAGCCAACTCCGGGATAACAAACATCAGGCTAAAAACACTAAGGGAACAAAAGGAAACCGAGAGAAATACCCCCATGTCAACCTTTACAGCCTCCCTAAACAAAAAGTAGTTTGGAGGCATGGAAGCCCGTCCTGTTCAAGATTCTTACAAATGAAGATAAGGGTCTTTCAAACCAGAGCAAGTCGCTCATCTCCGCTTCATAATGCGACACTATGAAATCCGCCGCTTCATTTGCTGATCTTGAGACCCAAGATCAGTTGCACGCGAGAAAGGAGTTGTCCACCTGCCGAATCTTACAGAGGTTAGGAAACACCTCCCAGCCTCCATTATCTATGCAACCATTGAACCACGAGATCACCGCCTTAGAGTCGGACTCTAAGATAATTCTCGAGTACCCCATTTGTTGAGCCAGAGTGCAGCCCTCCAAGGCACCCAAAGCCTCTGCCACCAGGATGTATGGAGCCCTTATTTCCTTCCTCCTTACCGCCAAGCAGTTGGAGTTCGAGTCCCGTACCACATATGACAAGTGCTACCACCCGCCTTCCAACTAGCATCCACATTAATCTTTACCGTATCATTGGGAGGAGGGGACCAAGGGGGATTAAACCGAGTCCTTGGTTGCTCCCTGTCACTCAAAACAGGATTCCTAGCCCTCGCATTCTGAAGTGACGCAGAAGCACATGAGATGGAATGGAAAAGAAATTAAAAATAAATAAAAAAATAAAAAAAAATAAAAATAAAAATAAAAAGCCAAATATGGACGAAATTTGGTGTTCGAGAAAATTTCTGAAAATATGACGATGAAGATGAAAAGTTGCTTCAAGGCAAGTATAAATGTGCTATCTATCAGACTTTATTAGCGTCCACATCAAGTTTACAAAGGTGTTATTGAATAATAAGCCCTATGGATACAATGAAGCATAGCTTTATGCTTATTATTTGTCAAAATTTTGCACTCTCATAAGACAAACCCCAAACACACAAGAGTTAACAAGGAATACTCAAGTAAAAAACCAAGGAAATTTGCGAAACCTACAGAAAAATTGCTCCTAGTGTTTTGGTTTTTCATTGAAAAAGGTGGAGTAGGCTTTGTGTATAGCCTTGAGTATTTGTAGGAATATCAATCATACTTTCTTCCAAAATTTCGCCCTCTATTTAAGGAGGTTTAAGTATCCGATTCTAAAATGGAACAACCATTCAAAGCCTGATATCTCTTGGTTTGCACTCTTTGATCAAGAAGCACCACTTCAAGCAAGACATGTCTGCTCATTTGATTTCGTTCTCAAACTTAGAGAACATTGATTTGAGTAACTTTGGTACTATATATGGAGCTTCCCAGCTTTAAACGTATTCACAGAACTCCACCTCCGAAGAGGTGTGAGAATTTGAATTCTGCAAGGTAGACCGACTGGTCTGGTCCTAGCAGCAAGCTATGTGCTTTAAAGCCCAATCAGCCGGTCACCTAATATGGCTGACAGGTCGTCTGTGACAGCTTCCCTAAACATGAGGTTCTGCCTTTATCCTCAGATCCTTTCAAATCCTCTTTTATTTTGAAAAACATTTAGCATTTGGGATGCAGTATTTTTTAGGATAACACTGGATTTCATTCAATAATCAAACGTAAACAAGTACATAAACGGGGCATATGTGGTGGGACGGGGTCTCAGAAAAAACTTACTAGCGGAACACCACATGAACAAAAAAACACGCGCAATAAAACAAACCAACCCAACTCAAACGAGTACATCAGCTCCTCCTCACCCGAGACCTAAACAATGATAAACACGACCCTTTATGACTCCTTGTAGGGAGGTCTTCTTGAACACAACTCTGCATCAGTGGCGGTCCATTCTCAAGCCAAAAACACAACCTCTCTTGACGTAAACTATAACATGTTATCTGATGTGTGTTCCAGAGACATTGAGCTAAAACTTGAGTTTGTGAGGCAAGGAGACGGCGCACTTCATCCACAAGAACCCCTTCCGCTGTAAAACATTCTTCGTCATTACTGATCAGTTGAACAACCTGCAGAGAATCGGATTCAATCACAAGAGGAACTTACCCAGCATCCACCGCAAAAGAGATCCCCAGTTCCAGAGCATACAATTCCATAGCAAGGATCAACACTATGTTTGGAGCTTTCATCGCCACAGCCCCTACTAGCCATCCTCGATCATCCCTGACAATGCCTCCCGCACCTCTAGTTCCATTAATAACATTGATAGCTCCGTCCACATTGAGCTTGAGAATACCTACACTAGGAGGCCTCCAGCGGACCTCACTAGCACACAAAGGAAGGAGTACTCCTATGATGGGAGTTCAGAACTTGTTTATACGCCTCATCATAGCACACAAAGAACCCACGACACCTTGGCTCCATGAAGAACCTTATTCCTTTCGTGCCATAACTGCCACAGTGTAGTCACGAAAAGAGGATGTTGCTCCATTGGAATTAAATCCCAGACCATCTCTAGCCATCCAGAGATTTCTTGAGAGCTACTTGCGCCAGTTTTCTACAATTAAAGCCCTAAAACTCACGAAGACAGAGTTTAAACATAGAAACTTTCATCCTAAGAAAGAAAAAGAGGCTACCGCATGTGAGTCAGGGATTTCATCAAACACTTGCAGTGTGTGACAAATACTTTGAGTTAGTATTTGATATTTACCATTGCGTCTCTGAATTTGAGGACGATCAAACAATGGGATCCGTTTGGCAATGGCGCGAGAAGCAGCCGCCATGTGAGGGTTGGACCATCCCTTTCCTGAGCTTGTGGTGTTTGTAATAGCCTTGCCCATTTATCTTGCCAAAGTAGCCGTTGTCATTTCGCTTCGAATTTGAAATACCGTTACTTTAGTTTTTCCTTCCCGGAACTTTATCTCATGTATACTATCAAGTTTTAGACGTGCACAGGTGATGAGGGAATATTATATTATATTTTTTTACTCTATTCTTAGTATTAATTCATTGGTCATTTTGTGAGAATTTTGATACTCTTAAATTATATTTCTAATATAGGATATGCGACTTTCTCTTGAGCATAAAGTAATCAAACGCATGAATTTTGGAGTGATTCCAATCAGATGATGTTTGTGAGTCTTCCAAGGTGATTGTGTCAAGATTTCAGATTTTTCTACTAAACCGTTTGACCGTGGCGAAGAAAAGAAGGTCCAGCGCGTAGCTTTCTCAAATTAACGTTTTTGGATGTTTTAGGTATTTTGAAGGTAAATGTGGCATATTTTGAGGAAGATGGATTTGTTGGGAACGTCCTAAACTTTCAAAAGAGACCTTCTGGTCCAAATCAGAATTGATTTGGCGGTCAAAAATGTGTTTTCCTGAGAAGTCTGAATTTAACTTTAAATAGAAACCTTTTATTTGCTAGTTTATTATTTTATTATATTTTCTAGTTTTATTCTAAAACCTTTTGTAATATAAATAAGGATTTTGGCCATTAGGTTAAAGGAGGGATCAATTTCGAGAATTTGTTGGGCTTTGAAATTTGAACTATTGTTTCAAGATATTTTTTATCCATGTTCTTAATAATATTCTATTTTATAATTATTCGTAACTATTTTTTTTTCTCCTTAAAACTCAAATATGGTCATTTTATAGCTTGAAACTCAATATTCTCTTAACTTTGACTAAATTCTTTTTATTCCGTCAAAATAGTATCAAATGTAGTGATGTACATAGTAATTTTGTTCTAGTTGGCATCGTTGGACCATTAAGGACATAATGCCTCAAAACGTGTAGCTCTCATTCGTTTGGTGACCTTATGATGCTCATGAGCAGTGCATTTCTAATTAGTTTAACCGAAATCTTTTAATCTCTCGTCCAAATTTATCATAAATGGAGAAAACCACAAAAGACAGCCCAAGAAAGAAAAAAAAAAAAAGAGTCGAGTCCTTGGTGCATTGTCCAGCAGTTTTATTAAGAGAAGACAACAAGGTTACAGATTAAACAAGCCTGTAAATGCACAAATACCAGCTCTTATTGGTTTTGCATGCTAGGCCTTCTTTCCCGCTGAAACATAACCTCTAAATTAACTAAACATAGCTAGCTGCTGATCCGGGGAAACTCCCCGGCCGCCTCACTTCTGTGTATATTTGCTGGCGTGGCTCCTGGGCTGGTAACAGATGGACAGAAGATTAGGTTCAAAATTTGCTAATTAAAATCATAGAACCTAAGTGAAATATATGAGGCCGTAAAAAGGATTATATTTATAACCTACGAAATGAAATACCTTAATCTGTGTACTCTCTTCTCTTATCCTCTCAGTGCTCTCAGGCCTTTGCAGATCCACATTTCTTGATTTTTGCCATGCAATTGTCTATTGGCCTAGTATGAGGCAAGTACATCAAGGGGCATCCCGCATTAGCGCGTTCCATCCTGCAGCATCAAATCACCGAAACATTAGAAGATTATTAAGATTATAACAACAAAGTTTCCAATTTTAGTCATGGAGAGGAATTTATTAAAGAGTACTCACTTATAATTAAGGAGGAAATGGTGAAGGAAAATAGCAATTTCCAGCTTAGCAAGATCATTTCCGGGGCACAGATGGCTTCCAGCTCCAAAGGGAAGAAAACTTAATGCCTTCGGTGTTAAATTCTGGGCCGGCAGAAAGCAGGAAAACAAGTTAGATGTAAGTATAAATTATTGTTTTTCATAATTATTAGTAAATTACAGGTGTTTAAAAACTTACATCCCATCTGGAAGGGTTGAATTCCATTGGGTTTGGATATAATTCAGAATCATAGTGAATGCTCCTGAACCACACCAATACTTTCCAGCCCTTAGGAATGCTGTAACCTGAAATTGAAGCCATTACGTAAATTTCTGAGGTCTCATAGTTATTCAAAGAAAAATGTGTAACCAATACCATTGAAGATATGTATGCAGAGTAAAATACATAAGAAAGAAAATCTTAACCTACCATTTATTTTGACATCCTTCTTTGCCTCACGAAAGACGGTGAGTGAGAATGTTATCACTCGAAGAGTTTCGTCAATCACCTATGGAGTTTAAAACAGTTAGCTGGAATCACTTGGCAGCTGCTGAATAAAGAGGAAAGTGAAGGTGAAGCCACTTACCTTTGAAAGATAGTCCATTTCCCTATATTCCTTAAGTGTCATACCCTTCTGCGTTGGTGGCCTCCTCTTGAGAATCTCCTCTTGCTCAGCCTAAAGTTGTTCAAACATGATTAGCAAATAATATTTAAAGTTTTTAGGAGTCATCAGACAGAATTCATCAAACGATATCGGTGGATTGATCAAACCAGAATTCATTGAATAACAGCATAAATATCGATCAATATAAAAAATGCGGCCTAATCAAAGTGGATTGATTATGCATGCAAAATGAAGGCTAAAATGCTGCGACTGGTGAATTGTGTCATTGCGCCTGCACAGGTAAATCAGTCCCCTAATATTCAAAAGGAAAAGGAGACAATAAAAGAACTTCATTCAAGATGAACTACCCAAAAATATGTGAATTCAAATACCTTAGCTCTCTGGAAAGCTTCTGGGTTTGCTTGTAGGAAAACGGTAGCCCACATGATGGTATGGCCGGAAGATTCATGGCCTGCATTCAAGTACATTAACAGTACGTCTATAATTTCCTCATCGGTAAGTTTTCTTCCATCATCTTCCTCAACATCCAGCAGAGCGTCCATCATATCTTTCTTCTTTGCATAGTAGTTTCCGGCCTTTCTTTGAGCTCTTCGATCATCCACAATTGATTGAAATATAGCAACAAGACTTTTCCGAGCCTGAAATGCAAAGACCTCAGTTAAATGCCAAAAAAATTACAAACACAACTGTCCAAGTTATGAAACCAAAAATCCAATTTATCAGTTCCTCACCTTAAGTGCTTTATGGTATGCAAATCCTGGAAGATTGATTGCCATGGCTCTAACTCCGTAGTTAAGTACTGTATATTCCCTCTCCAGAGCCTCCATGACTGACTCGCTCTCTGAGCTAAGAAAGATGTACATAATAATCTTGAAGGTAAGCTTTCTGAGTTGAGTTAAGAACTCTATTTGTCCCATTTTGGACCATTTTTCCAAGGACCTTATGACAATCTCTTCAATGTACTTCATGTACACGGAGAGTGCTTCATGACCATTGACTGGAGCTGCTGTTAGCCTTCTTAGACGTTTGTGTTCCTCGTAAGATATACCAATGAATGATTTCTTTCCAATTAGCTCCACAGTAGAAACAGGCCACCCGGGTTTGAATGCATCGTCATCTGTCAAAACTCTTTTACTTGTTTCAGGCGTTGTAACAATGACACTTGGGAACCCAAACATGAAGGCCTTGTAGATTCCAGTTTTCCCAAATCTGTATTGTTCATTGATATGGTAACATAGTTACACTGAAATTAGTCAAATTGGCTAAATATATGGCACACACAAAACGATTGAACTAAGCCGATAATCAACTTCCAAATAATTCAAATGAAAAAAGGGTCAACCAAAGAAGAGTGTATGTGTCTGTTTGCGCGCGCTCGTGTTAGACTCGCTTTTGAGTTGAAGTGACAAATGGTGAGGCGAAAAGAAACTCTTCCATTCACATTGTTCAACATTATGGTACAATGTAACTAATGTTCTTTCATCCATATACTAGTTTGTATTGGGTGCATTAGACGCACTGCATCGCCCTGACAAAACATTAGTGTGACACATTGCTACATGCATGGTACCCAACAAAAGCATGCAGGTTTTGGACCAAAAATATTTTCTGCTTCTTATTCCCATAAACTATAGTGGTGGCCACCTATTGAACTTGTTAGTTCATCTAGTTTCCTAGCACACATGTCCGTTTTTAATTCTAAACTTTTTAATTTTGTTTGTTTTTTATTTTAGAACAGGGAAAAAAACAAAGGAGAATATTAAAAGCAGTTTCTAAAGAGAATCACTTGCAAAAAAGCAGTTCTAGTCGATCAACTCAACAAATTGGGAACATATTCCTAATGTTTGGAAAATTGACTTCCACATCCTCAGTAGGAATGAGTCAAGTTCTCTATTCTCCATTATATCCCACTTTTGCACCTAAATGCATGCCAAGTGCTTTCTTTGGTCAGAAAATGCCAAGTAGTTGAGGACAAGGGAGAAGCATATTGAAATTAAATTAGGCTACTCATTCAAAATATTAACAACTTTACCAAATCCCCTTAATACAAAAATGAAGATATTCTCAACCCATCAAAGACTAAACTCTAAAACCATTTTTTATTTTTCTTTATTTAAGGTAAATTGACTCTTCATCAGACGAGATCAAGCAGACGAGGAAATTAGTGGCCTCATTAAAACCTGACTTGTTAAAACGACTTGAAGAAACTTTGTCAAGAAAAAAGAGTACCACATCTACCAAATATAAAACCTTTTTTTTTTTTTTTTAATGTTTACTGTTAAACCCAAATTTCTTATAAACAAGATTTGGGATATTTTATAGTTTTAATTAGCATCCTACATGGACAATTTGGTTTAACATGACCACCCATTGTACTCTAAAGTCCTCATGTACAGTTAGTGTGTGGGTAGTGTGTGGGACAGAGAAGGAGGAGATAGGCCCCTCTTATCAAAGGCTTAAATAAAAATCCGTCTTGTTAACTTGACACAAGTTCAAATAATTTCTTGGGTAGTTTCAAGTTTGACATATCCTATGTGGACAATTACTTGTAATGCGAAAAACAAGAAAAGGCGTGAACCGTGTCGGAAATGAGGACAATTTACATGGCTCATAACGTTATTGTGACGCTATTTTATGTCATCAAGAGTTTTTCGTAGGACAAAGAGAGTAGTGAGCCTTCCTAAGCATGCTAAAACAAGGGTTTTTGTGCAGAAAACTCAAAATAAGGAGCGGTGAAAATTTGGGAGTATTTACATGAAGTGTGGTGGTGGCAGTCACCCACATTGTGTAAAGACTGTCCTCAACAAGTGTCAAACATGCACACAAAATATCAGTTACACAAATAAATTAGAGGACAAAAGCTTTGGTTACAAATGTGACAGTGAAAGTGACAAAAAAAAAAAAAGAAAAAAAAAAGGCAATTATGTAGCGTTTTTGGTAACGTTTTCTACTCTGTACTTCACAAACGTTACTTGTGGTAAACAAAGACGTACAACGGAAGATTTTCCCATGTTGGGACAAATTGGTAATTCAAACACCCATTTACGGATACATAGAGTGCAAACATGATCGACATTTTGGTAATCATTTATTTTTTGAACACTTCATGATATCGACCAGATATCGACACTGTAAGCATATACTGATATCCGGTACTAAATGTATCATTTTGGCTCAATATCAACCACATAATGCAACTTAGTTTGCTTTTAGCTAAACAAGGAAGAACAATATAACTTTAGCAAAATTAGAGAGAGAGAGAGAGAGAGGTGAAATTTGACCTGGAAACAAACGTATCGAGAAAGGACTCAGGATTGTTAGACTTGAAAGCTCTGAGGAAGGACCACATGTTGCCAATGAAAGGCAAGCCCAAGTCACCAGGTGGGAGAGAGTACTGCCTTTCACCCAGCTTGGTTTCATACAGCAACCGATTCGCATTCTTGATAAGCCACCAGAAGGCCACAAGACCAACAAAGCTCAACAAAAGTACCATCCAAATAGAACCCAGCCCCGTTCCCACACCCACCACGAAACCCATCACCATGATTCTCTTTTGCTTTGTTATAACTTACTACTCACTCACTAAAGAAACTGAGAGGGAGCGAGAGAACGAGAGAGAGAGAGAGAGAGAGAGAGAGAGAGAGAGAGAGAACACTCACTCTGTGAGCACAGAAAGAGAGAGAGAGAGGGAGGGAGAAGAAGCTCGCACTTTGAGTGATATCCCTCACTCTGTTTCTGTGTCTCTATGTTTGCTCCTTTATATATACTCCTAGGCATGGCCCGACAGAGAGAGAGAGAGAGAGTACAAAATGAGGAATGTTATCGTACCATGTTTTTATACCACATTTCTATATCACTTTAGATGACATCTGATGTGGATAGTCACATCATTTGAATTAATTAGATTTTTAAATTTAATTCATTTGATTAATTCAAATTTAGTTCATTTGATTAATTCAAATAATGTGGCTGTTCACATCATATGCAACCTAAAGTAGTATGAAAATATGGTATAAAAACATGATAGGAATAGTATTACACGTAAGAAAATTGTGATTTGTCATAATAAACCAAATAAAGAAAAGAAAAAAACAAACAAACCTGTGTGATAAGACGTACATATATGCCGGCCCTTTACCTATATTTTTTGTTTCGTCGTGTTGTAAATTGGCTTTGATTCTTTTAAACCTGCACCGTTCGTGTATACTTTTATTTTGGCATTTTTCTAATCTAAAAGCCATTTAAAGTAATGTTTAAATTTGGACAATATGTGGAATTTCTGACTAAGATCCTTCTGGGAAAATATAGAAAATTACTAATTTGCAGGCTAAATAAAATTGTAGAAATGATTCTTTCTTATCATTTATCAACCCACATACACGGTTATATACACAAGTAGGCAGCCGTTGGGCTTTAGTTTTGTAACCACAACTCTATAATTAATTACGTAATTACACCACAAGAACAACCAAATTGTAAAATCTCTTAATCACCCTAAATTAGCATTAGCTCCTTTTAAATGTGAGGATTCTTCTCACACAAAAATGAGTACAGATATTACGAAAAATACAATGTATACACATTGTTAAAAGATAATAGATACAATCTACGTAACATCCATATATAGAGTTCACCAAAAAAACAATCCATATATAGCTAAATATTATACCATGTAAAAAGAATTACAATATTTGTTATGAATTTGAAGTGACTAGATACTAAGAATAACATATAATGCTTTTCTATTATATACTAAACCTAAAATTAATAATACCTACTAGGAATCTCATTTAAATCCACATGAAAATATAATAATTACTTGTTTGGACTCGCTTTTGCATTATCACCCGAGTAATTGATATCATTGAATGAATTAAAAATTTTACAAATGACCTACACATCTTAATTATCGTAATAATTATCTTGGAGAAATATATTTTAGTTTGGAGATGAGGATAAAAATGAGTGGGCAGTGGATTGATACCACAAGTTGATTCAACGGTCAGTGATTTTTATAGACTCCATAATACGTAAAAGTTGGATTGATGTGAGAAGACTACATTAAACCATGCAATTGACCTTGATAAGGAGAGGGCGAGTTTCAAACACGGGACACATAGGTGGAAACCTAAAAGCCAATCTGATCAAACTTCGTGATAAGTCATTTGGCTTGAATAATTATGAGTTGGAATAAGTCCATAGAAATTATCATTGGAACTTGCATGCACCTAGACAGTTACATGGTGGGATAAACTAATCACTTAAACGTGACATTATCAAAATATGACTTGGTGTTCACGGCATGGACTCTATAACACATCCAAGCGCATTAGTCCTATAAAAACAAGAGGATTTGCAACGTAGAGGGATCTTTAACTCAACGCACAAATTAATGCTCTATCCAAATTCTCTCAACCCTTTTGAGAAATATTATCAGCTTCACTAACTATTAGCACGAATACAATCTGGTTAGACAGATTTGTGTTAACCGTCGACAGACGACGACATCCCGGTTAGACAGCGTTTTCTAGAGGCAACCATCAAAGGTAATAGTTTGGTTAAATAGGATTGAGTTGTAGAATCAGTTCGATTCAGGAGGCCTAACATTTTTTAAACAATAGGTTTACTACGTCCAACTAGTTATCTATCGTAATTCTCTACTGGCGAAGAGTCCTTGATTCTTTCATGAAACGAGGTCACTCCATTACCTTTCTCGGCGAAGTGAGGTGTTACTCAGGTTACATTCAATGTGCAGCACACATGCAGCCGAACCATTATTGGACTTCATAGCAAAAGGCATAACCTTGCTTTCAAGTTTTAGAACCGAAGGTTGAGAGTTCCTTCCTCGGCTAAAAGTGTTTCGTTCAAAATTCAGAAGTGCATTTCATCACATCATCTCTGTGGGACAATGATTTTCCAGGGCTGGAGTAAGGCTTCATTGTATTTTGGTAGCTGCAATCTTTGTAGCAGTGGAAAATGGAATTTCGTTGCTTCCTGAAAAATTTCAGTAATGAAAAGTTATCAGAATTATAATTTGAGAACTATTTTTTTTTCATTTAACTACTTAAAACATTTTCACTTCTAGATACTAAAAAGATAAATGAATAACTTATATATATAAAAAAAAAAAAAAAAAAAAAAAAGCTAGTTTCTCCTCTTAATAATCAAATTCTCGATATGGGTTTTGAAAAAAAAAAAAAAAAAAACCATATTTCCTCAAGGGAATCCGTAAAAATCATATTTTATTGACGGTGTAGGCTGTAGCAGAGAGCTTGGTGGAGACGCTGACATTTGGTCGCAAATGGGGAGATGGGCCGATGGGTGGGATGGAAGTGCGGTGGGAGTGAAAGAGGGAGGGGAAGAGAAAAGGGAGATGCCTTTTCTTTAATTTTGTCTTTTTACTTTTTATGAATTAATTCTTTATGTTTATTGCTCATGTGGCATAACTTTAGACCTGGTATTTATGACGTGTTTTTTGTGTTCATGCCATTTTCGTGATTTACCTACGATCTTAACGGATCGTGTCATGTAACACCGGTTAAAGTAAACAGATAAACTGACCTAACCCAAAATAGACCTGTTTATATTATCAGGTAATATGACCCGATCCGTTACCTGTTAAATAATATATATTTTAAATCAATAAATAGTGAAAATGAAAAACATAATACTAAATTAGTATATGCATACTGTATTGTTAGATAAATATTACTTGAAAACATAAAAAATAAAAGAATGAAAAAACATTTGTCTTTCAAGTATTGCATACCCTAAAAAAAGAGTCTAATGAAAAAATATTAGTACATTACTATAAAATACCAAATGTTCAAGGATATGCAAAATAAAGGGAGTTGCGTTTCATAAGATTTGGAGGGTTTTAAAATCTAAACGATCATGTAACCATCGTTTAAGCGTAGAGGAAGCAATCACGAGCGTTTGTATGTGATTTCACATGTTTGAGACTTGTACATTAATGATTAAGAATTTTATTTATTTTGAACTCCTTTAAAGTTAATATTCCTGAGGATTTGTATGGTTTTAAAAATTCAAACGATGATGTATCCATCCTCAAAGCGTAAAGGATACGATCACAAGTGTTTGCATATTTTTTTTTCACATTTTTTCGTACTTGTAAATTAATTATTATAATTTTTTTTAATGTGTTTGGTATTTTTAAATTACTTGATTTTTAATGTGTTTTATAATTTTTTTTAATCTCACTTTTTGCTTATAGTATACTATAAAAGTAAATAAATAAATAAAACAATTTTTTTCAATTTTATAAAAAAATAATACAAGAATACACTTTTAATATACAATACACACACACACACACAATGGCTATTGTATTTTATAGTAGTTGAAAAAATTAAAATCATCAAAATAACTTTTTTCTTAATGTGTCAAAATGAGTTACATGCGTGTCACTCTCATGTAAACATGTTAAGGACCTGTTATTAACGGGTTCTTATCGTGTGGCTTAATAACGACCTGATTAGTTATCACGTCGACCTGAAACCTGTTATTTTCGTGTTGTTTACGTGTCGTATAAGAAATTGCCAGGTCTACATAACTTTGATGTGCCAAAGTCTAGCCACGTCATAAGTTAACTAGGCTAATAACAAAAAGACTAATGGAAGTATGAAAATGTCACAAAATTCAAACATTAGGTATGAAATTGGGATGAAAAAGACCTTGACGTATGAAAGTTTGAAAATTACAATCCTTGAGGGTAATAAACTAAGAATTACCCTTTTATAAAAATATCCATGAAAATGCCTGCTTGAATCTTCTTAGAAGCTCAACTGTTTTTTTGTTAGAAAACTCATATTTCAAGAAAGTGTTATGCTTCCCGAGCACCTATTCATGCATTAAATCTTGTGCTAACTAACCGACTCATATTTCAATAAGACTATCCATGGACTTAGCACTACTAAAATGTTGCATGCCCAAAGCATAATAGTCACCACATGGATTCAAGTCCCAAAAAGGATAATCTATGCACTGTCAATTTTACTGCATCTCATGCCTGAAGCATGATAAATGTATAGGTCCCAATGATTCAACTCCCCAGAAGTGGAGATTAAAAATCCAAACTCTATAACGCTCTAGATGAGGTTATGATCCTAGTTCTCTAAATAAATTCATCTAATAAGAGATGACTGTCCTAAAAGAGACAATGTAAAGATCCTGAAAAGGTAAGGATATTCGAAGTAATGAAATGCTTGTTGGATAACAATTCAGAAATAAATAAAAATAACAGAACTTAAAATTCTAAAACTTTATTAACAAAAAATACTTGCAATACAGAATGAAATAACATAAATAAATACAAGAATTAAAATGGTACTAACTTGATTTACACAGATAGAGGCTAGCGCAAAAGTTATGTTCTTCGAACAGTATTTTCGTCCCACTCTTGTGCTTGTGGTTCTATGATGTCTACTCGATCAAGATACAACTATCTAATTCTACAACCCGCACTGGATTATAGAACTCTGGCAAATTGCTTTGTGTGTTTACCCTCTGTAAGGTTTTGTATGAGAGATAGAAAGGAAAAAGATGATACACGAAGGAACTGAGAGTCTTCAATTATATAGGTTATTTCATACCTTTTCAAATACCTTTTGGATGTATCTGAAACCACACAACTCTTTCCAAACAGTTGTGTCTATTAATCAAAATGTTTTCTTAATTAGTTTAATTAAAAACTTAATTCGAAATTAAAATTAATGAAC